AACTTTTTTTTAGTACTGTTGCCTCACAGTTATAAGGACCTCTTTAGTTATATACTTTGAAGGGGCCACTTTTGGCATCCAATTTGAATATTTTGCCACATATCGCCAGCCCTCTGGCGATTTTTGCCAAAATCGCCAATTTCGCCAAAATCGCCATTTTCGCCAAAATCGCCAGCCTCCAAGGGGCCACTTTTGGCATCCAATTCAAATCGCCAGAGGCTGGTGATTTTTCGCCAGTTTCGCCATTGCATGCATGGCGATTTTTGCCAAAATCGCCAATTTCGCCAAAATCGCCATTTTCGCCAAAATCGCCAGCCTCCAAGGGGCCACTTTTGGCATCCAATTCAAATCGCCAGAGGCTGGTGATTTTTCGCTAGTTTCGCCATTGCATGCATGGCGATTTTTGCCAAAATCGCCAATTTCGCCAAAATCGCCATTTTCGCCAAAATCGCCAGCCTCCAAGGGGCCACTTTTGGCATCCAATTCAAATCGCCAGCAGCTGGCGATTTTTCGCCAGTTTCGCCATTTTCACCATTGCATGCATTTCTGGACATAAGTGGTTAAATGGCTCACAATGAAAGGTATTGTCGAAAATGAGTCACATGTCTCTGAACAATAGACGCCTCACTCCTAAGCAAACAAAAACAATAACAAAGGCACATGGAGCATAATGGACAATACTGGGTCTTCAAATAACTGGAGAGTTTTCATCTTGTTCAGGGGGCAGTGTACTTGAGCAATAATTGGGTATATGCGTGCTGCTGAGGGTCTGAGCCCCAGACCCCATTTAGGATAAAAAAAATAGTAAACCTACCCTACATAGGACAACACCTGCTATTTTAGGACCCTACCCTCACACTAGATTATAGGTCATGTACGGGAGTACCCCCAGTGTCTTAATTGATAAAGTTTGTCATATAACATCCTAAAACATAAATTAACATTGATGCATGAGATGTAAAACTTTCGGAAGAATTTTGTCAATTTCACACAACCTCATTCTGGGCCCTTCGATATTATTATTATTAATATTAATAACTTGATGACTGATGTCCTTTTATTGTGGACTCAGGATACAAAGTATAAATAGGTTTGACCATTGATCTCCTGTTACCCTCAACAGTAATCAGCCAATATCTGAGGCTGGATAAAGGATCATGCATATCTAAGACTTTCCTACGAAGATATTGATGCATCCAACACGGTTCACTATGGGCCTTCTACTAATAATACGGCATGGGTAATAATCACATGCACCTCAATGGTTTGCATGTGAGTTTAGTAAATGAGCAAGTAATTGCTGTGAAGCCACCACGCTTTGCAGCACACTAATTCAGGTCGCATACGTGACCAGCCTGGGTTGCCTGTTTATGTACTTTTGAGTTGCCTATACAGTACTTTACAACTGTAATTGTCTGCAATCGTTATTGTTAGTGTCAGTTTTCTTTAATTGTCCTGCCCTGAACATCAAGTCTTTCATGCAAGGTATTTAACTAGTTAAGAATTTAATTTAATTTATTTATTTATATTTCATTTTATTTGCCACACAAAAATAGAAATTACAAATACCAGTAATATACATGTAGGAAAAGTAGAAGAAGAAGTGGCGGCTAATTATTCATAATATTCAAACAGATTGAGAGATGGTGGCGAGAACTCCATCATAGAATGGAGAAATTCTTCAAGAGGCAGTTGAGAATGCTGTTAGAGAAATAGTCCATTAGCTAGGGGGGTTGTATGGCTCACTTAAGTGCAAATTTGACTTTTTTTTATGAGGAAAAAGGCCAATTTGAAAGAAATTGATAACTTTCTTTAACCCTTTGCATGCCTTTGGTGACGGCCGGCGAGTAGCGAAATAACCGCATTTTTCACCAACTCCTCTTCTTTGGACTGGTTTTCGACTAAGTAGCATGGCTAAAAGAATGGCTAAAAATGAATTTTTCATCAAACAAAGACCTATTTTCCGACTAATCGCCTAATTAAACAGCTTTTTTGTTTTTCACGCATGCGCACAAGCCAAAATTTTGACTTTATTTGCGAATCTATTTCGATCTTTCTCTATCGCTCTCTTTTTTTCTTTGCCTTTCTTCTATATTAGCAGTTTTTTTGCCCACTTTATCGTCTTTTTTTTAATAGAATTGTGGCTAGCCAACTTTTTAGGAAAGGAAAAAATTTACGTTTCAAAGAGTAGCAGATAATGATCACATTGGCAGTGGATTTTTCCTCAAAATGTACCTTTTCTGTGAGAGTAAAGTTGTTAGGATTAGTCAGTAGAACATACAAAACGAGATATCGTTAGAAACTTTTTGTGAATTTGTTGCTTACAAATTTATTAACTTATATAAACTGAAAGCTAAATGGGTCTAGGAAGGAAAACATGCATGATCATGCATCGTTCCATATGGAGTGACAACGACCAAAGTAGTCGTGAAAGGTTTAAGGCCATCGAAATCACAACGCTAGAAGAACATGTTTAGAGCTATTGTAGCTTCGTTTTCTACGGCAAGTAAATCATACCTCTTACCTAGAGACAATAAGGCACAAATAAGAGCAGATAACTTGCTCGGGAGGTGGGGGAAGGGGGGGGGGGGAGGGAGAATGCACTCAAGGGAAGTCTTGAAAGAGCTGTGTCGCCTAGAGTCACGTTAGTCACGTTAATAAAGTATGTATGTATGTAAAGTATGTATGAGACCTTCAAACCTCGACACTGTTTAAGATTCTGACATTGATTTGTTTTGTTTTACATAAAGAATCAAATAGTTTTTCAAACTGACATTACGGAAATAGATACTTTGGAAAAAAATTATTGGTATTGCAAACGTAAACTGCTCATCGCTAACATTCACAGACTTTTTAAGGCTTCCAGCCCCAAAAGACACTGTTCACGACGCTTTTAAGCGAATTTACTATTAAATAGCATTTTACTATTAAAATAATAAAATAAATAATTAGAATTTTACTATTAAAATAGTAAAATTCTACACCCGGTTTAGTACTCAAGACCTTGTGTTCAGCAGCACATACCTGACCTGTATAAGCCAAATACCTCGAAACGTGCTCCACTCTTCAGTCTAGAGCTTGTTTTAGGACAAAAGCACTGTGATTCCATAACTGACATCATCCGCATAACACCATTCTTCACAGCTGAAATTCGCGTTTGGAAAATTTAACATAAACATAAATTCACATGTACTGCATTTTCTGCCCTAACATCATAAGCTGAAGAAAGGTTCATAGATATGAGTTGCAACTACTCTACGGTAACGTGCAAACGAGGGGAGCAGAACGATGGTTCTTCTTCACATTGAGGCTTGATAATTGCTCCTGTAAGTCGAAAAGATGGACTCACATGGCGGCAGTTTCTCCAGCTTGACCTTCCACCCTTAAGTTGGGGATGAATCTCGTAGCGGCGCACTATGCCACTTCTTTCCGTACAGTTCACACACGGGTGCTTCCGTATCTTGAATTTAGTTCTCATTGGATACTGATCACTCTTTCCCGCCATACTCGCCATGACTCGGACGTACCCTCCATTGGTTGAAGAAGCTGGATTGCTTTCCACTTCCCTTTACCAAAGAAAGCAGCGATGTTATCACAGCCTATGATCGAGTTTACACCTAGAAGGGCTCCTCAAGAAGCAGTGGTTAACATCGCCTGGGTCGAGTTGCATATAATGTTTCATGTAGCACCTTTTCAAAGTCAACTTTTTGCTATGAGCAAGCATTAGGACAAGGACATCAGTCTCAGTGTCAGTGTATCAGAGTGTATCACACTGTCATTCCTGCGCGCGTGCCGAGCATGGAGAACAAGACGCGTTTCAGCCTTTTCATCACGGAACTGTACCTCAGAAACAGGGTCTCTGATCACTATGTGTCTGCCTGTAGTCGCCCGACTGGTCTTAGGTTGTCACACGGGGAGTCCATGATCCAGTTGCCGAGTCTGCTTCTAAATGCTTCGGTTTTGCCCTGTGGCACAAGGAATTTGACGATTTCACTGAAATGTTTGGTGCAAAGCATCCTGGTCTATGATAACGATAGGCCACGTGGATATAACGAGTTTTTTTGGATGATTTTTTTTAATGTTGATTTTCGATGTTGATTTTCAATGTTTTTTCCAATGCTGATTTGCTATGTCGGTTTCCAATGTTGTTTTTAATGTTGACTTTCAATGTTGATTTTTGGCATTGATTTTCACTGTTGATTTTCAATGTCACGGTTTTTCCAAATGTCGTTTTCCGAATAAATTTTTCCTATGTTTTTTTATTACTTAATTACAATTCTGCCTTGGTTGATGTAACCCTATTTTCTTTTTTACCTTCTTCTCGTTTTAGATATCTGTTTTCAAATAATTTTTTACTTAATATAATTTTATATCTTTATTTTTTCTATTTTTATCGCTTATGTTTTTCTGTTTCTTTCTATGTTTTATTCTTTCTTCGCAAAATCGTACATATTTTACTATGATAAAGTTGGGCCACCATAGACGTGGGCTTGATCTACAGCTGCACGTGCATCACACTCTTTTTGTACATTTCTCCGCTGTCCCTACACAACTACAACTTAAGAACTGGAACGACAAGGGGATAAATTTATTTACTATCTCCCCCTGAACTCGGACACGGTCTCCTCTCTTCAGTTCCAACCTAACACATGTTCCATACTTTCAATTCACTGAGCGACTTGGTATGAGGGCGAAAAAGTTTCAATGAACGGGAAGTCTATTTTTCAGCGACGTTTTCAATGGCGTCTCTGTTTTCGGATAGTAAGGTCCCTATTGGATTGTTTGCTCATTGTTCTTTGGTTCTTGTACCCTCCTTAAACACCAGTGCTTCCAAACTATGATTTGAGACAAACCGCCAGGGAATTGCCGGCCCCAAAACTGCCGCCTGCGATACCTGACACAATCCACTATCAAAGGCAGTTCTGCCAACTAATATTAAGATCTATATCCTTAAAAAATGATCATGTGCAAGGCTCTACTCGGTTATTTTTCCGCCTAAATTAAACCAGCTGACTGATAAGCCTTTTTAACTCTTTCTTTATGTCTCTTTTGAAAAAAGCATAAGACAATGGGTTAATGGCCGAGTTTAAAACCAATACAGGAATTTTGTATTGTTCATCTTTACATGATGCATTTGTGTCGAATAGTACTACTAGACTACAACGCAAATATATTCCGTAGCACACAACAAACACTTCTATCACAATACCCATCATTATTACTGCAGACTTCTCGTTACGGGTTTTTAAATATATCCGTCCTAGGGTGCGTGCTGACGGATCTTCTTTCCATAGATAAATTAACATTGACACAAAACAGAGTATCTGCAGAACGCATAGAAAGATTTCCATGGAAATCATTAAAACCACAACTGCAACGATACTGGTCAGAGGGGTCACACAGCAAAGCCAAAGTGCGCTCTTAAACGCAACCAGCGTAAATGACGCTAACCAGCGGGAAGTTATCGCTTGAATAACACGAGATGGTCATAACAGTTATGTATTCAAAAGTCTTTACGATGGCTATAACGGCCGAGCACCAGAGAACACAAGTTTAAAACAGACAAGTAGCTAAACAGCCACCTTACGACATCTTTCCATGAAGGAAAAGCCTGAGGCCAGTAACAGGTGCTTGTAACGTCGCAAGCTAAAAGAGAAGGAATAACGCTCAAACCAACACAGAAATCCGCTACTGCAAGTGAAACAATAAACGCGTTGGTTTTGGTGCGGAGATTTCGTCTGCTGCAGTCGAAGAAGATTATAAATCCATTTCCAGTGATGGCAAGAAACGAAAGAACCCATCCAAGAATCCAAAACCAGGTCTCCATTCGTCCTAACGGCAGTTAAGAAAAGTTCTTATTAACTACAAATAAAAGAAAAATAACGTAATACTATCCTCTTCGCAAAAATGTCAGGAGGTTGTATGTTATTCACTGGCAGAGGTATGCTACTAGACTGAAGTCCTTTTATTGTCTTACTTTGTCATAAACTTGGTAATATCTAATAATTATGTATTTCGCATGCGCAGTAAGTAACTGACCGAGCTGTTATAACACAGTTGGTAGGAAAGTGAGGATAGTTGCGTGTCTTAACCGCTGTAATTCAAAGTAATACAACAAAAATTCCGGTTGAAATGTTGGAAATTCTACTTGCCCAATGGAACTACATCGACCCCACCAAAGCCACAGCGCGTTTGGTTATTGTTCCTACAAAAGAGCCGTATTTGAGACAACAATTTTGTCAAATGGAAAGGGACACTCCAACATTGCCAATCTTAATCTAAATAGCTCTGACCTGGCTGGATCTTAATTATTCTCTTTACAACTAAACCAGTCCGGTCTATCAGTCACAACGTCAACAAGTCGTTAAATTTCAGAATACTGTGTCTGATCCCTTACCCCTTACTGTTGGGGTACCACAGGGATCCATCATGGGCCCGATGTTGTTTACATTGTATGTAAACTACCTCTTTCGAGTTCCAAAACATTGCGAACCACTCGGCTATGTGGATGACATCAAGCTCTTCCTTGGGTTCCCCGCCACCGAACTTGACGACGTTATCTCTGCAGTAAACGATTTGGTGCTGTAGAAATTCGCTGCTTATTAACCCTGACAAAACAAGGCTTCTTTATGTAGGCGTCCCACAACTCATGGGGACATTACCTACCCCTTTACTAAGTGCGACAATGCTGGGAACTCAAATCAAGCCTGTAACAGTTGCAAAGGACCTTGGAGTGTATATAGGTTGTCATCTTAACTTTAACGAACATATCACTAAAACTGCCTCTGACTGTATGTTTAAACTGACAAGAGTTAATAGAATAAAGCATCTCTTAGATAAAAAAAAAAAAAAAAACATTGATCTATCTTATAAATGCTCTCGTTTTCAGCAAATTATTTTATTGTTGGACGGTATGGAGTAGCACGAGCAAGAAGAACGTTAGAAAACTTCAGCTAGTTCAGAACTATGCCTGCAGAATCGTAGCCGACTTAAGAAAATACGATCATGTTTCAGAAGCCCTGAAGTCCCTTAAATGGCTTAACGTAAGGGATAAACTGCTTTTTAACGACCTAGGGATGGTGTACAAATGCTTAAAGAACCTAACACCTGGTTACCTCCACAGACACTTCCAATATCGCGCAAAGAGTCACAAGACAGAACAAACAAATTACGTTGCCTCGGTATAGGCTGGCCACTGGCCAAAAGACTTTCAGCTACCGTGGGGCAAAACTTTATAACAGTATAGCTAAAGATATAAGAGACACTGGAAATTTTAACGCTTTCAAAAAGAGAATTTTTAAATATCTTTTTAATTCATAGATAGTTTTTTATTATTGAAATGTAAATAGCCTTTAGAATTAACGTTCATTATTATTTATAGAAATTCGTTATTTTATCATTGAAATGTAAATAGTTTTCTAGTTTATTTTATTCATTTTATTTTAATTCGTGTGTGTAATTTGTGGCGGAAGAGCCCCAAAGGGGGAGCTATGCAATAAAGTATGTATGTGTGTTTGTATGTATGTACTTCTGACAGATGGAATTAACCGAGACCTTAGCTGATTAAAAAAAAATGTACCTTCACTTTAGTCTAAATTGAGGCCGACATATTTCTAACAAATTGCGACAGGTCTACTACAAATTACGACAAAAGTGCATTGATAAATAAAAAAGACGTCTCTAATATCGCGTACAGCGCGTTACTAAATTTGCCTGAGAACGTTTCCGCCGTTGTCGTTTACTAACTATTCCTAAGCGAGAAAATAAAACAAGAAAGACATGAGCCAGCAGCATCACGGTGATCTGCTAAGTAGTCTGTTCCGTTTAACTCCACTTCTGTACTGAACAGAGTATGCAAAGGTTTTCAGTTAATAAATTGAGCAAGGAAAAAAATAAACTGATCACGATGTGAAACAGAAAGACAATGTCGATAAGTTTTTAAAGGCAGTTCAACTGTGCAAAAAACACCCTCTTCACAAAAACTTCTTGTCGAACAGTTTATTAATTATTCATAAAACCTTGTTGTTTTATAATCCTTTCAATATATATATAATTATATAAATACATGGCACAAGACGCCTGGGGTGTCTATATGATCTTTAACAACTGTTTCACTAGCTCAGTAATCAATCATTAACAATATTGTTTAGTTACATGCCTTCTACTGCATTTTTATTTCGTACAGCTAAGTTGGAAGGTTTTATTATTCATTCGGCATGCAACGATTTTAATGTCGTTCCAGCCACAAGCAAGACCAATATTAATTTCTTTGTCATGATTTCCACAGAATTTTAAGGAAAATTAGTCTTACGTTCGTGTAATGTTTGATAGCTACCTTCCTTTCTCCATAACGAGTCATTTTACACTTTACGCGATTTTATCATTTCAGTCACACCTGCAGGACTGAGCTGAAATAAACTTGCACGGAAAGATTACAAAACAACTTCATTTCTTTGTGCTTTTCTCAACAAGGAAATTACTTCATATAACAAGAATATCGTACAGTTAATCTTTCAGTTCGGTTCGGTAAATCTAGGAATCTATCGCCGATAACAGAGTTGATTACGAAGGCTATTGAAGAAACAACCTCAGTGTGGAGGAAAATTGGCGCCAAGCCTTATAAAGTCACCGAACCTCGAACTTCTGAACTTGTCAATCTTCATTTCTCTTGTCAAACTGGTATTCAGAGTGTGAGCTTCCGTTTCAGACTGAGATTGACAAACTGATGATCATAACCGATGAGCCCAATGTACAAAGCGCACGGCTATTAAGCCTGGGTTCCAAACTATATCCAAGCAACAAGCAGCACATGCTCACGCTATCTTTGTTACTCGATTGACACAGAGTCATGCTCGAGTATGCCAAAATCAAGCAAGTGAAGCAAAGCGGGCTTTGGTAGCAGGGTGTGAAATTATACTCTCATGATGTGAAACTAAAACGTTCCATCCAATAAGAACTTGCGCCTCACACCACCTGTGAAGTCCTTTCCCTTGTATTTTCTGTTGGGGTCAAAAGGTTCTTGTTTTCTCTCCTAATCAGCTCCATTTTTTCCAAATTTCAATTCGCTTTGAGTCCAACCCACACGCATTCATCAGTCTTTTACCGAGTTGCTCAAGCCTTCCACACTCGTTCATAAAAGACTTACATCCTACAAGAATGAGTTACGCACGTCAAGTGGTAGGTTTTAGTTAACTTTGTTATTTTCTATAAAACACAGCGCCAACGAGTCTTTTAAACTCTTTCTTTATGTCTCTTTTGAAAAAGGCATAAGCCAGTGGGTTAATAGCTGAGTTTAAAACCAAGAAAGTAATTTTGTAGTTTTCATCATTACATGGTGATGAGGATAGTATTAGAAAACTACAACGTAGATACATACCGTAGCAAACAAGAAACACTCCTATCACAATACCCATCATCATTACTGCGGACTTCTCGTGATGGGTTTTAAACGATACCTGATGGTTAAAACGCAACTGTTTTGCTAAGGTGCGTGCTGACTGATCATGCCTGCATACATGAAATATCATTGATACAAAGCAGAGCATTAATACAGCACATAGAAGAAACTCGGAAATTATGGTCGGCCAAATAAAAGGACAGTCGGAGGTATCATTTTGAAATAAGACAATACAAAGGGTATTTTTTAGCGCATTGTAACTAACTGGTAGAGCCCAAGAGAGGAAAATAACTTGGGTAATTCGACGGCGAGTCATCAAAGTAATATATTTTAGAGGATAGATGATGGCAATAAAACGATCCAGTACTAAGCCGCATAAGTTTACAACAGACGAGTGACTAAACAACAATCTTATAATATTCACCCACGATAACCAATAATCAGGCCAGTGGCAGGTGTTTGTAAATTCGCAAGCTAACAGAGAAGGAATAACGCTCAAACCAACACAGAAATCCGCTACCGCAAGTGATACCACAAACGCGTTGGTTTTGGTGCGAAGATTTCGTCTGCTGCAAACGAGGAAGATTGTAAATCCATTTCCAATAATAGCCAGAAATGAAAGAACCCAGCCAAGAATCCAAAACCAGGTCTCCATTCTTAACAGTTAGAGGAAGTTGTTATCAACTGTAGAATATAACCAACATCTTGCATCAATATCAAGGACACTGAACTCTTTTCTTATGTAAACGCTCTCTTTTGTTCCAATAAATTTGCATAGGTGCTGGCCACGTGAGTGAAAATGCCCTATTTGTTGTTTACATCGTCTTAATTTGCTAATTAATGTCATTAAATAATAATTTGTATTGGGCTGTGTTATCACAAAAATGTGCATCAAGACAACAATACATTAATACTAAATGTTTCTTTGTGTGTTTGATGATAAAATAGCAACAAAATGTTGTAATAAATTCTTTGAATATAATACATTGTTAAAGGTGAAAGTGTCTTTTATCGCTTAATGTCGAAAATGTTGTTATGTAGCGTTTTTTAATGTACCGTTCCAGCGGTGGACATCTCGTCTACTCTTGTTAGGGTTTCCCATGGGGGGGGGGTTGGGGTTCTTTAGAAATTTCTCGGGTGGTAATGTGCCGCTGGGACACTGGAACACCTAGTCTTTACTCCTGGCTCAGCTGAATTTTGGAAATAGTTTGAGACAAAGTTTGAAGGGCCATAAAAACATTGAATAAATATGCTATCGACATGCATAACTGGCTTATATCTAAAGAAAATGGTGAGGTCTTGAAATGCAGTTTCGTCTCATAGAATAGCGATTAATTTCCGAATATATCTCTGAATTATGCTGATGTTGGAGATCATAGTAAAGACAACATCTTTAGCGTCACTTTTTCATCAGGTGGGACACAGAAATAAATCGCTTTGCAATAGTTTATTTGAATTTATGTTTCCTTATTGCAATACCTGTTTTCAGTTAACTTTTTTAGCTTTATTTTGGTACGGAGACCCCTGAACATGACAGGAAAGTAACTGAGGATCCTTCTGAAAGCAAATTAGAACAGCTACTACGAAATGCAAATCAAGACGGATATTACAAATTATTACAAAATCGTCCACTGACGTTCTCTAAACAGCTTTAAAACTTGTTTGAAGAAAAAGATGGCTTTTCGCCACCCCATAGCCGGGGATCAATGGGAATCTGAAAAAAAAAAATATCCATGTTGCCTGTATGGATCATACAGATCATGCTCTAAAGTTGTTAATATTTCATTCACACCTAGCATGGACTGAGGTTAATTAACTATCAGTTTTCATGGAAAGGAAAAAATAATACAATTCTTTTCCTGTACAAAAACAAAAACGTTTACTTCATGCTTGTTTAAATTCTAGGAAACTACTTAACAGAGTTGATTACAATAATTAATGTGGAAAATAAAGCCAGGAAAAAGAAATACTTTCCCTTGGTTTGAAACAAAAAGTTTCAATTAGAAATTTCGTCTACCACTACCTTTGACGTAGGCTTGATACCTCAGAATCGCCGTTTCAAGAGCAACTGACATATACTGCTAGGAACCTTAGGAAACTACAACGGCGACGGCAAGAAGAACGCCTAAAACACAATAGGCTTCAGTGAGCAAAACAACAGCTCCGGCTGCACGTGCATCACTTTTTTTTGTACATTTCTCCGCTGTCCCTACACAACTACAACGTGGAATAGTCAATGTTTTTTAGATGACGGGCTTAAGAACTGGAACGACAAGGCGATAAATTTATTTACTATCCCTCTCTGAACTCGGACGCGGTGTCCTCTCTTCAGTTCGAACCTAACACATGTTCCGCACTTTCAATTCACTGGGCGACTTGGTATGAGGGCGAAAAAGTTTCAATGGACGCGAAGTCTATTTTTCAGCGACGTTTTCATTGGCGTCTCTGTTTTCGGATAGTAAGGTCCCTTTTGGATTGTATCCTCGTCCTACTTTTGTTCTTGTACCCTCCTTAAACACCAGTGCTTCCAAACTATGATTTGAAACAAACCGCCAGGGATTTGCCGACCCCAAAACTGCCGCCTGCGATGCCTTACACAATCCGCTATCAAAGGCAGTTCTGCCAACCAATATTAATAATAATAATAACACTTATATAGCGCTTATCCGCATGCGTTCTAAGATCTAAGATCTATTAAGATCTATGTCCTTCAAAAATGATCAAGTGGAAGGCTCTACACGGTTACTTTTCCGCCTAAATTAAACCAGCTGACTGATAAGCCTTTTAAACTCTTTCTTTATGTCTCTTTTGAAAAAAGCATAAGACATTGGGTTAATGGCCGAGTTTAAAACCAATACAGGAATTTTGTATTGTTCATCTTTACATGATGCATTTGTGTCGGATAGTACTACGAGACTACAACGTAAATATATTCCATAGCACACAACAAACACTCCTATCACAATACCCATCATTATTACTGCAGACGTCTCTTTATGGGTTTTAAAAGATATCCCATGATTAAAACGTAACTGTTTTGCTAGGGTGCGTGCTGACCGATCATGTTTCCATACATGAAGTAACATTGACACAAAACAGAATATCTGCAGAACGCATGGAACGATTTCCATGGAAATCATTAAAACCACAACTGCAACGATACTGGTCAGAGGGGTTTCACAGCAAAGCCGAAGTGCGGTCTTGAACGCAACCAATGTAAATGACGCTATCCAACAGGAAGTTATCACTTCAATAACACGAGATCGAGTCATGAAAGTTACGTATTTAAAAGGCTTTACGATGGCGATATAACGGTCGAGCACCAGAGAACTCAAGTTTAAAACAAACAAGTAGCTAAACAGCCACCTTACGACATCTTTCCATGACGGAAAAGTCTGAGGCTACTCACAGGTGCTTGTAACGTCGCATATAAACAAAGAAGGAATGACGCTCAAACCAACACAGAAATCCGCTACTGCAAGTGAAACAATAAACGCGTTGGTTTTGGTGCGGAGATTTCGTCTGCTGCAGACGAGGAAGATTACAAATCCATCTCCAGTGATGGCAAGAAAGGAAAGAACCCATCCAAGAATCCAAAACCAGGTCTCCATCCGTAGTAACGGCAGTTAAGAGAAGTTCTTATTAAATACTATTCTCTTTACAACTAAACCAGTCTGGTCTGTCAGTAATAACAGATGGAATTAACCGTGACCTTAGCCGTGATTAAAAAAAATGTACCTTCACTTTAGTCTAAATTGAGGCCGACATATTTCCTACAAATTGCGACAGGTCTACTACAAATTACGACAAAAGTGCATTAATAAATAAAAAGCCAAGGCCGTCTCGTAAATATCACGTACAGCGCGTTACTAAATTTGCCTGAGAACGTTTCCACTGTTGTCGTTAACTATTCATAAGCGAGAAAATAAAACAAGACCGACAGGAGCCAGCAGCATCAAGGTAATCTGCCTAGACTGTTCCGTTTAACTCCATTGCTATACTAAATAGAGTATGCAATGGTTTTCAGTTAATAAATGGAGCAAGGAAAAAAAATAAACTGATCACGATGTGAAACAGAAACACAATGTCGATAAGTTTTTAACGGCAGTTCAACTGTGCAAAAAACACCCTCTTCAAAAAAACTTCTTGAATGTCTAACAGTTAATTAATTATTTATAGAACCTTGTTATTTTATAATCCTTTCAATATGTATATATATACATGGCGCAAGACGCCTGGGGTGTCGATATGATCTTTAAGAACTGTTTCACTAGCTCAGTTATCAATCAATTAACAATATTGTTTAGTTAGATGCCTTCTACTTTATTTTTATTTCGTACAGCTAAATTGGAAGGTTTTATTATTCATTCGGCATGCAACGATTTTAATATCGTTCCAGCCACAAGCAACTCGTCTATCCAATTTGCTGTTGGGCTTCCTTAGCAACCAATATTAATTTCTTTGTCATGATTTCCACAGAATTTTAAGGAAAATTAGTATTACTTTCGTGTAATGTTTGATAGCTACCTTTTTTTCTCCATAACAAGTCATTTTACACTTTACACGATTTTATCATTTCAGTCACACCTGCAGGACTGAGCTGAAATAAACTTGCACGGAAAGATTACAAAACAACTACATTTCTTTATTTGTGTTTTTCTCAACAAGGAAATTACTTCATATAACAAGAATATCGTACAGTTAATCTTTCAGTTCGGTTCGGTAAATTCTAGGAATCTATCGCCGTTAACAGAGTTGATTACGAAGGCTATTGAAGAAACAACCTCAGTGTGGAGGAAAATTGGCGCCAAGCCTTATGAAGTCACCGAACCTCGAACTTCTGAACTTGTCAATCTTCATTTCTCTTTTCAAACTGGTATTCAGAGTGTAAGCATCCGTTTCAGACTGAGATTGACAAACTGATGATCATAACCGATGAGCCCAATGTACAAAGCGCACGGCTATTAAGCCTGGGTTCCAAACTATATCCAAGCAATAAGCAGCACATGCTCACGCTATCTTTGTTACTCGATTGACACAGAGTCATGCTGGAGTATGCCAAAATCGAGCAAGTGAAGCAAAGCGGGCTTTGGTAGCAGGGTGTGAAATTGTACTCTCATGATGTGAAACTAAAAAGTTCCATCCAATAAGAACTTGTATTTCCCTTGTATTTTCTGTTAGGGTCAAAAAGTTCTTGTTTTCTCTCCTAATCGGCTCCAAATTTTCCAAATTTCAATTCGCTTTGAGTCCATGCCTCACTCATTCATCAGTCTTTTACTGAATTGCTCAAGCCTTTCACACTCGTCATAAAAGACTTACATCCTACAAGAATGAGTTACGCACGTCAAGTGGTAGGTTTTAGTTAACTTTGTTATTTTCTATAAAACACAGCGCCAACGAGTCTTTTAAACTCTTTCTTTATGTCTCTTTTAAAAAAGGCATAAGCCAATGGGTTAATAGCTGAGTTTAAAACCAAGAAAGTAATTTTGTAGTTTTCATCATTACATGGTGATGAGGATAGTATTAGAAAACTACAACGTAGATACATACCATAGCAAACAAGAAACACTCCTATCACAATACCCATCATTATTACTGCGGACTTCTCGTGATGGGTTTTAAACGATACCTGATGGTTAAAACGCAACTGTTTTGCTAAGGTACGTGCTGACTGATCATGCCTGCATACATGAAATATCATTGATACAAAGCAGAGCATTAATACAACACATGGAAGAAACTCGGAAATTATGGTCGGCCAAATAAAAGGACACTCGGAGGTATCGTTTTGAAATAAGACAATACAAAGGGTATTTTTTAGCGCATTGTAACTAACTGGTAGAGCCCAAGACAAGAAAATAACTTGGGTAATTCGACGGCGAGTCATCAAAGTAATATATTTTAGAGGATAGATGATGGCAATAAAACGATCCAGTACTAAGCCGCATAAGTTTACAACAGACGAGTGACTAAACAACAATCTTATAATATTCACCCACGATAACCAATAATCAGGCCAGTGGCAGGTGTTTGTAAATTCGCAAGCTAACAGAGAAGGAATAACGCTCAAACCAACACAGAAATCCGCTACCGCAAGTGATACCACAAACGCGTTGGTTTTAGTGCGAAGATTTCGTCTGCTGCAAACGAGGAAGATTGTAAATCCATTTCCAATGATAGCCAGAAATGAAAGAACCCAGCCAAGAATCCAAAACCAGATCTCCATCTTAACAGTTAAAGGAAGTTCTTATCAACTGCAGAATATAACGAACATCTTGCGTAAATATCAGGGACACTGAACTCTTTTCTTATGTAAACGCTCTCTTTTGCTCCAATAAATTTGCATAGGTGCTGGCCACGTGAGTGAAAATGCCCTATTTGTTGTTTACATCGTCTTAATTTGCTAATTAATGTCATTAAATAATAATTTGTATTGGGCTGTGTTATCACAAAAATGTGCATCAAGACAATAATACATTAATACTAAATGTTTCTTTGTGTGTTTGATGATAAAATAGCAACAAAATGTTGTAATAAATTCTTGGAATATAATACATTGTTAAAGGTGAAAATGTCTTTTATCGCTTAATGTCGAAAATGTTGTTATGTAGCGTTTTTTAATGCACCGTTCCAGCGGTGGATATCTCGTCTACTCTTGTTAGGGTTTCCCATGGGGGGGGGGTTCTTTAGAAATTTTTCGGGTGGTAATGTGCCGCTGGGACACTGGGACACCTAGTCTTTACTCCTGGTTCAGCTGAATTTTGGAAATATTTTGAAACAAAGTTCGAAGGGCCATAAAAACATTTAACAAATATGCTATCGACATGCATAACTGGCTTATATCTAAAGAAAATGATGAGGTCTTGTGATGCAGTTTCGTCTCATAGCATAGCGATTAATTTCCGAAGATGTCTCTGAATTATGCTATTATGCGATGTGAAACAGAAAGACAATGTCGATAAGTTTTTAAAGGCAGTTCAACTGTGCAAAAAACACCCTCTTCAAAAAAACTTCTTGAATGTCTAACTGTTAATTAATTATTTATAGAACCTTGTTATTTTATAATCCTTTCAATATATATATATATACATGGCGCAAGACGCCTGGCGTGTCGATATGATCTTTAACAACTGTTTCACTAGCTCAGTTATCAATCAATTAACAATATTGTTTAGTTAGATGCCTTCTACTGCACTATTATTTCGTACTGCTAAATTGGAAGGTTTTATTATTCATTCGATATGCAACGATTTTAATATCGTTCCAGCCACAAGCAACTCGTCGCTCCAATTTGCTGTTGGGCTTCCTTAGCAACCAATATTAATTTCTTTGTCATGATTTCTACAGAATTTAAAGGAAAATTATCCTTACGTTCGTGTAACCGGGGCGTAAAAAGGTAACACATTAGATAGCTATACTTTTTTTCTCCATAACAAGTCATTTTACACTTTACACGATTTTATCATTTCAGTCACACCTGCAAGACTAACCTGAAATACATTTCTTTGTGTTTTTCTCAACAAGGAAATTACTTCATATAACAAGAATATCGTACAGTTAATCTTTCAGTTCGGTTCGGTAAATCTAGGAATCTATCGCCGTTAACAGAGTTGATTACGAGGACTGTTGAACGAAGAAAATTAACCTCGCTGGGGAGGAAAATTGGCGCCAAGCCTTATCATAGTTAATTGAGTGGAATGGTCATGAAACCCGTCAGACTCCTTTGTTATATGTTTTTGTGGACCTGAAAGTGCACAACGTTCAAAAGAATTCCTTTCATTTTGATTGTATTGATTAAGAACGAGGAAGGACAGTCAAAGATCGCGCGAAAATCCCGTTCCTTAGTCTCTCTTTGCTCCGAAACAAAACGGAAACGCTTGCTACGCAGACTGTTCGTCTGACACTAATGGGCAAACTCTTTGTGTGTTTAATAATAAAGAGTTTATAAAACATTTCATGCGAACGATAATAGGTAAAAAAAAAAAAAAAAACCTCCAGCTACTAAACAGAGCATGCAAATTAAGGTTATTTAATGAATAAAGCAAGAAAAAAAAATATGCTCACTGATCACGATGCGAAAAAGAGATGTTACAGGGAGAAATTTCGTCTCGGCTCCGGACCGTTGTCAACCTTGAGCTTGATTCTCGCAGTCTCGTTTTCACTCGTTATTCTAAGTCAATTTACATTTATTTAAGACATTTTTCGTGCATAAGTCAATTATGTTGGTGGAAGCCTTTAATTGGCGCTCTGTCTTTAAAAACACAATGTCGATACGTTTTCAAGGCAGCTGTCATCAACTGTGCAAAAAAAAAAAAACCCTCTTCACAGAAATTTTTGTATAACCTTTATTAGCTATTTATAAAACCTTGTTGTTTTTTAATCCTTTTAATATACATGGCACAAGACGCCTGGAGTGTCGACTTGATATGATGTTTAACAACTGTTCTCACTATGGCTTACCAATCAATTGACAATACACTCTTTTTTTTATAAGAATGTTGTTTTTCCGGCCCAGACTGAATATTCTTATTTTTCTGCCGATTTTAGGCTGAAAATATTTTTGTATTATTCTTAAATTATAGCTTATGACATTTCCGTTTTAGAATTTATTGGGGTATCAATTACAAGAGTTCGGTATCTAGATCTGTGCTGAATACTGTACATATGTATTACATGTACCGTTCATCGAACTGTCATTAGCGTTGAACATTTTGCTATAGCTAGTGCAGGTTTTTTCGTTTTGTTGGCTAGTTTCGCCGTTAAGAGAAAGGAATAATTTTATACGGTTAAGTTAAAAACGTAAAATTGTATTGTATTTACAGTTGTTTCAACACACAAAATTATATCTATCCTTTTTAAAATCTCACTCAGCCTAGGCTTTATCCTTAAAATATTCTTAAAATTTCGCAAATTTCATCCTCGATATTCTTATAAAATATATTCTTATAAAAAAAAAGAGTGTATTGTTTAGTTAAATGTCGTCTCTCGCATTTTATTTCGTATCGCTAAATTGCATTCGGCATGCAACGTTTTTAACATCGTTCCAGCTACGACCAACTCGCCTTTCCATTTGCGGTTGGATTTCCTGACCAACCAACCATCATTGCATTTATTTCTTTATCACGATTTCTACAGAATTTTAAGGAAGATTAGCCTTACATTCGTGTAAGAAAAAGGTGATAAATTTGATATTGGCCTTCCTTTCTCCATAATAAGTCATTTTACCCTTTAGACGATTTTTATCGTTTCAGTCACACCTGCAGGACTGGACATGTTTGGGTTAACTGACCGTGGGAATAAAATTACGGTGAACTCGGTGTGGGTAATGTTTTGGTATGACAGAACCTACATGGTTGGGATCGGCAAGAATGTACAAACCACTGAAAAACTAAAACTCTGGTTAACAAACCCAAACACAGGAACTTCAACGGGACTAGTAAACCAAGGTCAGCTGTAACATCACAAACACGACCGCCTACGAAAAACTACCATCTGACAACTACAAGCGTATATGAATATCCTAAAATGGCGGCAACAGGTAAATTCACGAGCTAAGCATAATTTCATAAAGTACAAGAAAAAGCAAGGGATCAAAACAGGAAAACACTTACGCGGACAACAATCAAGACTAACCTTGACCCACTTGATGAAAAAAAAAAAAAAAACTAAGTGAAGCAAAGCGGGCTTTGCTAACAGGGTGGGAACACAATTATACTTTATGTCATGATAAAAAGTTCCATCCAATAAGGACTTGCGTCTCACACCACCTGTGAACCTTGATCTTAAGTCCCTTCCTTGATATTATATATTCTCTGAGGGTCCAGAGGACTTGTTTTCTCTCCTAATGCGCCATTTTTCCAAATTTCAATTCGCTTCGAGTCCAAAGCGTCACAGATTTATCAGTCTTAGCTCAAGCCTTTCACAATCGTTCATATAAGACCTACATCCTACAAGAAAGAGTTACGCACGTAAAGTCAGGTCGCCTTTAGTTAACTTAATTGCTATTTTCTTTAAAACACAGCGCCGACAAGTCTTTTCAACTCTTTCTTTATGTCTCTTTTGAAAAAGGCATAGGCCAGCGGGTTAATGGCCGAGTTTAAAACCAATATAGGAATTTTGTATTGTTCATCTTCACATAGTGATGACAATAGTATTAGAAAACTACAACGTAGATATATCCCATAGCAAACAAGAAACACTCCTATCACAATACCCGTCATTGTTACTGCAGACTTCTCGCGATGGGTTTTAAACGTTTTTTTAACGACACCTGATGGTTAAAACGTAACTGTTTTGCTAAGGTACGTGCTGACTGATCATGCCTGAATACATGAAATATCATTGATACAAAGCAGAGTATTAAGTAATGGTCCAGATAAGAAGGAAAGGACCAAAACGCAGTGAACACGTCGGAATGCAAAAAGGTGCTAACTTTAGTATTGTCTCTACTAAGGTTCTGATTGGTTTAAACATCAAATTTTACGAAATCTGCGCAAAGCAGCATGTATATTAATCCCTTTTTTCTATCCAACTTCCTTATAACAAAATCTCGTCTGAGTCTAAGTAACACAAAAATCGTATGTGCGGATCATGTAAAATTGTGAACATTTCTTGGCCATTGTTTGCAACTCTTGTGATTGGTCGAAATGTTTTAACACAAAAATACACCCTTTAAAAATGGAGTTTAAATACATTTTCTTTCGTAAACAGCCTTTTTGTAGATTTATGCATTCTCTGCTAAAAATGAAAAGATTTCTATGTGAGGAAAGCGTATTGCGCCACAACAAAAGAAAGTACTTCCCTTCTTACCTGGATCATTACTTAATACAACACATGGAAAAAACTCGGAAATTATGGTCGGCCAAATAAAAGGACACTTGCTGGTATCGTTTCGAAATAAGACAAGACTAACGGTATTTTTTAGCGCATTATAACTAACTGATAGAGCCCAAGAGAAGAAAATAGCTTGGGTAATTCGACGGCGAGTCATTAGAGTAATGTATTGTAGAGGATAGACGATGGTAATAAAACGATCCAGTACTAAGGCACATATAAGTTCAGAGTAGACGCGTGACTAAACAACAACCTTATAATATTCACCCACGAGAACCAATAATCAGGCCAGTGGCAGGTGTTTGTAATGTCGCAAAAGAACAGAGAAGGAATAACGCCCAAACCAACACAGAAATCTGCTACTGCAAGTGATACAATAAACGCGTTGGTTTTAGTGCCGAGATTTCGTCTGCTCCAGACGAAGAAGATTGTAAATCCATTTCCAATGATAGCCAGAAATGAAAGAACCCAGCCAAGAATCCAAAACCAGGTCTCCATTCTTAACAGTTAGAGGAAGTTCTCATCAACTGTAGAATATAACCAGCATCTTGCATAAATATCAGGGACACATGTCAACTGATTAGTATGGAGCGTTTTCACATGACGTCACGGCTGCCATATTGGCGTTCAAAACAGTGAAACGGTGGCCTTGTTGGCGTGCCAACCAATCCTGTGGGAGTTGACTGAACTCTTCTCCTCTGTAAACGTTCTCTTTTGTTCCAATAAATTTGCATAGGTGCTGGCCATGTGAGTGAAAACGCTCTATTTGTTCTTTACATCGTCTTTATTTGTAATAATTTGCTAATTAATGTCGTAATAATTTGTCTTGCGCTGTGCTATAACAAAAATTTGCATCAGGACGATAATATATTAAATACCCCGGTATTTATTTAGATTCCAAGAATTTATTATAACATTTTGTTGCTATTTTATCATCAAACACACGAAGAAACGTTAGTAACGTTTCTTCGTGTGTTTGATGATAAAATAGCAACAAAATATTATAATAAATTCTTGGAATCTAATACATTGTTAAAGGCAAAAGTGTTCTTTATCCCTTAATTTCGAAAATTTTGTGATGTAGCGTTTTTCAATGTACCGTTCCAGCGGTGGACATCTCTACCAACCTCGTCCGCAGGGCGCTTTTCCCTGGCTTTGGAGGTGGGGCGGGAAAAGGCCCTGGCATCGGCTAGCCAAATCCGTTATTTTGATTGGTTGATTGATTTAGGTAAATTATGTAAGAAAATGGCTCGATGGAAATAATTTATGCATTATAGTGAAATCGAAATGGCGGAAAGCATGTCCGCTTCAACGAAGATTTCTGCAAGAAATCTAGTTTGCGGGCTATGTGGTGGTTCTCATGAGAGTTGCTATATGCTTCGAATATGCAGCAAGGCCGGCTTATCTAAAGATCTGTATTTGAAAGTTTATAAAACCTGTGCCAATGCTATAAAATTTCTGAGGACGATCCGAGGTCAGCAGTGTTATGTAGGGGTGGCGTTATATTCGTAAACAAAATGGATCAGTTTATCAGGGGCACCCAACGTCAATTTTCGGAAAATATCTGTTCCGAAGACGATTTGAGACCTAGAATTTTCGGAACATTTGTTGTTAAATTTCTTGCTTGCCTGTCTCTCCTAAGATTTTCGAACATCTAAAAAATGGTATAATTTCCCATTTTTAACGGAGTTTTACCCTAAAAAGGTCACCTAGAATTTTCGGGAGCCTTTTACCTGGCTGAAATTTTCGAAAAGGTAAGTTTTGATCCCTATGATTTTCGGATCACTAGACTTTCAGCTAGGAAATCCGAACAGATAAAAAATTTTTAGGGGATAAAAATATGCCATATCTACCGTTTAAATACTAAAATACGTTTATCAATGCTATGTTTAAGTGGTTTTGAACTATATTCTCGTTGGGTGCCCCTGGTTTATTTGGGGAGCTCAGTCTGTAGACAATACGCCGTCTGATCTAAACTCAGAATATTCTGTAAAGCGATGCGTTCAACTTTCACCGCCGTCTTCGCATCAGCCGTCGAAGCGAAGCGTCTGTCAAAGAATATGCCAGACGAAAGATTCGATGTGGACGAGCCGCAATAAAAGGGGGTGGTAGGCCTACACGACTTTTACCTCATGCCAAAATGCTGCTTGTTCCAATAAGTTTTTTTCCTCTGCTAGGTAGATTATGCTCTGAAAGGTTCTATATTTTAACTGGGCCGCTTGTTTTACACTGAGAGGTCATTGCACACATATCGATTTACTCACAGGTAGCCCAAGCTCGAAATATGAGCGTCGGAGAGCATCGGCATTGTTTCGTAACATTCAAAATATAAGGATTTGTATGGGCACAGGCAGCCCAAGCGCACTATGTGTGGGTTCGGGCTTCAGAGGTCATTCGGTCGGAATATACTAGAATTATTAGTGTATTATCTGATGCTAAATAAACGCAAAAATCTTAAAGATATGAAGTCTTCTTGTTTGTCTATCTGTACTAGTAGCCTTTAAGATAACGAAGGTCGATATTTCTAGCATTATTACATGTGATTCGGGCCCTTATTGTTCGAATTTTATTACATGTGTTCGAATCTACAACGCTAAAAAAAAAAAATCATGATCACGCAAAATATTGATTCAAAAAGCTCCCTTACCTTTAGTTCATAGCCACTCTGTGTCCTACGGCTGGTTTAAACGCCGTTTAGTCGACTTTCTTTCCATCGAGTACTGAACACTATAAAAGAAGGGAAGGCTGGAGACCTTCCAAACGACCCTCGCCGCTCGAAGGCCAATAAATTCCAAACAAAGCGACCGATCTCCCTAAAATTGCCACCAGCCAGACCGAAGAGTGTACACCTACCTGTCTGCAGCACCAAGACCATAGTAGGCGTGAGCCGTTGCAGCGGTGGTATGGGAAAAAACCTATCGTTTCTGTAACCTACGAAAATGAAAGCATTTCAATAAAAAACAGCTTACCTAACTTAAAATGTGTGTTACGTCTCTCCTGTGTGGTCCACAGGCAGATTTATGGCCGTTTTATGGGTTTTTATGTAAACGGTTTTCTCTCTATATAACAAGGTTGGGCACTTTAGCGAAGCGGCTCGACTGATTCACCGAAGGAAAACGGCCGGAAATTCGCTCCAACTGCTCTAATCGCCTCAAAGTTCCGCCTAGGTAACACACCATAGTTCTTCTTTCCATTCGTTATCTTGCTTCAAGACTCCTTTGCACCGAGAGCGAATCAAAGGTCGCAAATCTCTGCAACCTTTCTCGTCTGACGCCATCCCTGAGTCTCGGCCTGAACTCCGCGTTACCGTTGACAGATAGCGACATGGCCTGAGACTCAAATTACTCACACTCGGGGTGGGAGACAGTCTCTAGCTCACGTTGACACAATACTTTGCAGGCATGTTAAATTATCACGGATAGTGATTAAACAGGTCCAAAATTATAAGAATAGAGTGCAGCTTAAACTGAAGCTGCATCAACTATGCCGGATAATTGCATTGTGACTGAGTAGACTCGAGCTTGGTGTTTTCATAAAGATAATATGAGTCTTGACTGCAGCGCGACGTATTTCCTTCCTTGGTAATAGCTTTCGAATAATAAAGCTTAACAGTGTTTGGGCTGTTTTGTTATTGCCACTTTGTGATCAGGCAAGACCGTGGCTTCGGTTCTCCACGCGAACCTCATTAGTTGCCGCGTTGACTTTGTGCTTAGTTGCTTTTACCAGAGCAACGTTAGTTGTTCCGGCTTTATCGTAGCAAGAACGGTATAGTGTTGTGAAATAGCATCGACTTGCCAGATCCAGTAGGTAAGACACTTCAATCATATCCTGGCCTTTCAGGACAGATTCGAAGCATTTTACTTGAAGAGGTTTAAAATTAAGCGATGGAAAGTTACCGTTACTCAGGGAAAAATCTGACCCGGCCAAGCACTGATAAAAACTCTGGTCTACCCGCCATCTTCGATGTTTTGTTTATCGTGTGCGATCATACGCTAATTTAGTACACCCACAAATTCTGGCTGTTTGGTGGTCATGTGACCGGCCGATGCCAGGGCCTTTTCCCGCCCCACCTCCAAATTTAAAGCCAGGGAAAAGCGCCCTGGGGACGAAGTTGCTCCTCTACTCTTTTTAGGGTTTCCCCATGGGGAAATTTTTTCCGGTGGTAATGTGCCGTTGAGACATTGGGACACCTAGTCTTCACTCCTGGTTCAGCTGAATTTTTCTACCCTATACTAAACTAAACTTCCCAAGTCCCTCCCTATCCAAAAGTTGCAACCAACCCACACTGAGTTCTTTTACCAGAAATTTTAAAGAGTCTACGGAAAAAATAAAGGAATTATTACTAAATTTTTTGCGGTCAGAAGATGATTATGTCGAAGTCTCCCGTCTTATTAAGTTATTTAATACTTTAGTTAACCTCTCTTCGTAATCGTTATGTACATGCCTTGTTTTTTGTTTTTTTGTTTTATGTTAGTTTAAACTCTATTTACTGTATTGTAGTGTCTTCACTGTTATTTAGTCCATCTATATATAATTCTTGTTTTGTAATATGCATTACAAGCCGCAGGCTCGATTTTCGGGGGATTGCGACGTTCAGCGTCGCAATCTTCGCATATTTCTGAAGGGCGAGGCGCCAAGTCTATTGTTTTGAACCAAGGGTTATATTACATCAAAAGACCCTGTCAACAATGTTCGTTTTATTGAGCAATCTTTCATCTTCGACACTTAATCCAGTTTATCTTAAGTGGACACCCAACCTAGTTGCTATTCACGTGCACTGTCGAAAGCATAATATCAAATAGACTTCAAAAATTCTGCATTGGAGCTTCACTCTTCGTCTTTAATTTTAGCCCACCCACTCAATAAACAATAAATAAGAACAATATTACCGAAAAATAATTACAACTGAGAACTTGATGAATAAACAATGAAAACAACAACTCAATTATCTCTCAGGGAGATCACCGCCAAAGCGGATACCCGCGAGGTTTGTTCGGTTTCAACATAGACGGAGGAACTTTTTACAACCCTAGTATAAATCTGGCCTAATTGTCACTTGATCGAAGAGAGATATTTACGCAAAAAAAAAACTATGACAGTTCACAAATGATTTAGACATTATCTTAATATTTTACCTTAAACTGTCGAAATTAAAGTATTGCCGCCCGCGGACAAAACTAGCTTTTTTCCGGTTTCCGGTGTACATCAAACACAGGCATCACGCTGAATATTATCCAGACTGAGAGCCGTAGATCAGAAAAAAAATCACAATGACTAAATTTCGCTTTTGAAACCAACACCACTCGTCGTAAGATTGGGCGCATCGCATAAGAGCTAAAGACTTAAGAGGGAGAGAAAATAAAAATCTACTGAATTATATACACTAACAAAAACAAAATATGAACAAAAACAACAACTCTGTAACGACTAGCTAAAACACGATCGATTCAAGCTGTGACTTACTTTGTACTTTATCACAGCTTCTTAAGAATGAGCGC